TGATTTACCAATTTCCACCATGAAAAATGAAAATTGAAAATTAGGTTTTAGATGAATTGAAACTCCTAGAGATTCATTGAACTTTTAAATGGCATGTTTAATCTCGATTATGCCATTCATGTTTGTGAGTAGGATGTCGAGGATAACAAACAAGGTGTGGATAACCATGAAAAATAGCTTGGTACTCTTGAAGATGTCTATCACCTAATCAATGTGCCGGTTAACCACACACGCTCCATTGATCTATGATAATCTACGAGCTACCCATTACCATTCTTCATTGGTCCCGTATTAGTGTGTCGGTTAACCACACATGCTCCACTAACGACCAACAAGGTGTAATGTGCAATTTCATGGATTAGCACCAACTCCACATTTTCCATAAAGTAACTAAGATTTGAGAATTTATAAAAGTGTTTAGTTACTTCGTATTTCATTATACTTATAATGGAACATTATATCCTATCCTACCCGTTCGGCTAACGACACTCCATTAGTCAATGGTGCGGTGGGTAAGTGTAGATACCTAATGACTGTCATTTTACAGGCCGCTTCCTTAAATACACCTTATTAACCAACTTCGTGAATGACGTCTACTAATAGTAAGACTAACTTTTTACTTATACATATATAATATATTAAACTTTTTATTTTATATAGTATAAGGGTGTATTTTACACTTTTTAAAATACTAGGTAGTTTAAGTTTTTAATAAATTATACTATTAATATAATTACACTTAAATCATATTATTATTGATTTATTAATTCCCTCTTTTAATTAAACACTTAATTAATTTAACAAAATCCATAAGTGTGTAATTTGAACTATTCAAAACACTAGGGTTTTAGAATTTAAATATATCAAAATTATAAAGTTTTAATCAAAAATTAAATTCCAAAACTTGAGGGCAAGTTTTGAAACTTTTCAAAACCTTCTAGATCAAGTTTAATATAATTTAATTAATCAAATAATTTTTCATTATCTAAATTTGATCTAATTTAATTTATGGAAAGATAATTCACATCAAATAATACAACTAATTACTTTTATCATATAAACTTGTAATTATCTTAGAATTTGAAAATTATCTTCTAATTGGATGAGGATTATCATTACCATATACCAAAATTCGAATTTTATCTGTTAAAACCGTTTTTGGTAATTATCCCAATCTAATCTTAGCCAAAATCTGAAAAAATTTCATTATATCCCATTCAGTGTCATGGAAGGCTATTCTACGTCGTGGAATTAGATAGAATCAAAAAATAAAAAATTTTCATCTTTGAAAAATTATTCATAGCATCAAATACAATATAAAAACGACCTAAGCTCTGATACCACTGATGGGCTTTGAGCATTACATCAATCCTATGGTGTACATGCAACCTTATAGCCTTAGATCTAGGTTTTCTCTAATTATACATCCAATAATTATCCAAAGCTATAAACCCTAATTTCTAGTATACATATTTCAAAATTGACATATGATTAGGGTTAGAAACCTTACCTTACTTGTTATGTAACAATAACAAGAACAATCCACAAAGTCCTTGACTCTTGAAAGCTTAGTGCCCTAAGTGTTACACCTCTAATGGAGTCACACATACACCACTAACAACAAGGAAGAATATGAGAGGGGGAGAGAGAGAGAGAGAGAGAGAGAGAGAGAGAGAGAGAGAGAGAAAGAGAGAAAGAGACAGGAATACCCTTCAAAAACGTATAGGACTCTCCAAGAAATCATTGTGACATTTTTGGAAGCCTTTGGGGTTCCTTTTATAGTTAAGGCTTCTAGTGTTATCAACTTGGAAACCCTAATTACCTTGTTTAGGCCCTAAGCAACATATGGACTCCTTAATGGACAAGCCTTGGACAAAATCTTTATGGACTCTCATAGAGATTTCGTTCACCCTATACTAATAAGGTCCATGAGCCCAACATACAAATATTACTGATTTACATAATCAGTCTCCGTTAATTTAATCAGTCTCTTTTGATCACCAAATTAATTCAGATTAATTTCTTATCAATACTAATTAAATAATATGATTTCTCAATTAATATATTATTCTTATAATACATTAATAAATCATAATAAATCCGCTTTCTCCATAATTCATCCTATTAGTTGCTAAGGTGAAGGCAACCCAAAATGACTATGCTCATAATCGAGTCAAGTACATACCAAAATAGTTATGGGCTTAGACACCTAATCCAACATTTATCTTCTTCAGCTTCATCATCACATGGTACTTTGTATGATATTTCTTTCTCCATCTAGAAGTGAAATTGTGAATATCCCTTGATTTTTGAAATGTACGATTTAAAACCTATTGTCATGTGCATAGAATCAATAATTTCATCATCCAGTAAACTCAGAAAGTTCATAGTCTTACCGGTGATAATCGATTTGTATCCGTTATCCATCATTCCAAGATACTTTGCACTCAGCAAAAGTTGGGATGCAACAGAAGTGGAAGCGTGCATGATGAATATTGTTGCTTTCATAGTTGAAAGCATTTGAAGCTCTTCCTAGAGTAGTTCATTACTCCAAGAGGTTGAAATTATGCTCCTACATGTTACAAGTATGCTCTTAGTTTTTAGAGTATCAGTCATATCTCTTCCACTATCATTTTTCCTCATAGATAACAATAACTTCCTTCCATCTAAAGGATTATGGCATTGTAGTGATGCCTTTAACTTGAGAGATTTTATCTTGTGAGACTTGAAGGTAATAAAGATGCTTGTTGCAAGAGAGACATGGTGAAATTGAAAGAATATGCACTCTAGCTTTGTCTCCCAATACTGATAGGAACATTGCTTTAGTTGTGGACTCTGAACCTATAATTGCTTGCATTTTTGACTTTTTCCAAAAGATTAAGAGCAACAGAGAGCCCATGCAATGATTCTCCATGGGTATCCTTACTATAAATAACTATCTGTGTTTGGAAGTGAGGGCTAACCATGTAAAACTCAAACACTGCCATGGTGATGCAACTATGAACAGTCCTTTCCAACTTATGGATATAAATATGGTGATTCCATATCTAGAATCACTTCCATTGGGATCTCCTTGTAGGTTGGATCTTCTTGTGCTTTTGTATTTACCTGACCCAAGAACAAACATAATCTCCTTCAGACAATTTATCGAACACTTGCTTTGCATCTCTAATTTGGCGAAATTCCCCCATGTAAGAACTTATAAAACCCATATTTTCCCTTAGAACTATATTATTACATACCAGTGAAGAGTTTCTCAGAAACAAAAGGACCAGAAAGGGAGTCGCAAGCTAAAAGCTAATAAAACCCATTTTCTTTGAGGTTTTAAGTTTTAACTGTAGTTCATGACACCTTTAAGACACTTTATCAAATGGTTGCTTTCCGTGTCTAAAGTTGAAGACCAGGGTCTGCTCTAGGCTTACAAGATGTATTCATGGGTTTACTCCTATGGTGACCAAAAGCGTATGTAAAGAGGTGCTTTTGTTCCTTTTTCCTTCTTCCTCTAAGAACACCATAACATCCACAAATGGCTTAATCTAGCTCAAATACGAATTAGGTTTTGCAAAGGTTGAAGTTGAGGCTGGAGACTAATGAAAGGAAAAGGATTTAGGACATAAGGATGCTTAAATATGGTCCAAACCCTAAATATTAGCGTTTAAGGATTTGACACGTACGAAGTGTACGCCCAACGTACGTGTGCTCTGCCAAAACTTACAACAATGCCACTATGGGCCATTTTGCAACCATTCTATCACACAAGAACTAAAATGCAATTAACTCTCATTTATAGGGTTAAAAATATAATATCTCAAATTCTCAACATAAAGATGTTACATGAAATTTTGAAATCAGGTAAAAAATGTTTTTTAATAAAAAAACATGAAATTTTGTTTGGAAAATGATGAATCCAGTCAAACTTCTTGCAAGCAATCAACTTCAAGCAATTCTTTCTCTCCGGCCTCGCCAAGCCCATAGCGACCGAGCATAGCAAGCCCCCTAGCGCTTCAATTCGTTGGCGAACCTTAGACCCCATTACCGAGCTCAACTTAACGAGAGAACAACATGAAATGTGTGGAAATGAGAAGAAAATAAAAGAAATTGGTGTTCCCGAGTTTCATTAAAGGAAGGAAATGGAAGGAAGTTGAGAGAAATAGAAAGATAATTTTCCCTCCTGACTTTCCTTTCAATTTGGGAGGATTTGGAAAGAAAGAAAAAAATAATAAATTTTCCTTCTATTTCTCTCAGAATCGGGAACACAAAAGAAAATTGTGTTTTACTTTTTTTTTTCTTTTGTTAAACTCAGAAAGTAAGCGTTAGCGAACTTGCTTGGGGACTCGACTCCGTGTAGCCTTTTAATCTAATAACATTGTGTTTGGCGCGCCACAACTAGCTGATAAACTAGTTTATTTTTTCAGCTTTTTTATGTTGTCGTGTTTGGTAAGCCAAAAAGTAGCGTATAAGCTAGCTTTTTTAAAAAGCTACTTAGACTAGCTTTTTAGGAGCTTTATTAAAAATTTCCAAACACACCCCTTAATTAATTATAGAAACACATACTCTCACATGTCCTTTTACGTAATTTTATATATTTCAGCTAGCTTTTCAGCTAGTTTTACCACACGTCATTTTTTATCAACTAGCTTTTCAGCTATCAACTAACTTTTAATTTAACAGTTAGCTTTTCAGCTAGTACGTAAAACATAGCCTAAATAACATAAATCCTTAAAGTTTTAATTAAGAAAAGGGATAACTATAGTAAAGTCCCTATATTTTGGCAAAAAATTCAATAAAGTCCTAAACTTTTTTTTAAATGAAAAAGCCCAATAAATCGAATAAACCGGACAATTTAGCCCTTATCATCCGGTGACCCTCATTTAGCCGGTTACAAAATTCTATGTGTACTGGGCATGCTTAGGTGTATGGTGAGTCACTTAACGAAACATAAATATATACATCATTCATTCGTTCGTGCCATAAAATTAAAGCAGGAGGAGGAGCCACAAATGTCATCTTCATCTTTTGTAAGAAGCAGAAGTTCAAATGGAAGAGTGATGAATCGACTGAGAAGCAGATGTTGTTGCGGTGATCCCTTTGGAAAATGGACTTCGTAGACTCTGTTTAACCCAGGAAGAAGGTTTATAGGTTGTCCAAATTACCAGGATGTACTCAAAGACTGCAAAATTTTCCATTGAGTGGATCATCCTCTACCAAATCCATGGTATGCAAATCTCTTACTAGAATTTCACAACGATGTTAATTTGGAGAAAAATGTAATTTTCAGGGACTATGGACAACAACAAGTTGAAGGGAACTTTTTTGATGACATTGTGGAACAACCAGTGGCACAACCACCAGTGGCAAATCAACCCGTGGAAAGAGTAGCCATTCAAGTCCAGAATGGACAAGAAGGTGGAAATGGAAATCTTTTTTACATGTTCATGGTTTCTTTTGTTTTTGTGTTGGTGATGTTGAAGGATTTGTAGGATAGATAGAAGATGTATGGAAAGTAGTGTTTTGGTGTGTTTGATGTGTTTTGATTGTGTATGTTAGCGTACTATCAATGTCTTAATTGGTGTGTGTAGTATGTATTATGTTGTCTCCTTTTGTTAAGTGAAATGAATTAACAATTTTATGTTTATGTATGAATTAACAAGTTTATGTATAAGTGCTTCCAATGTAATCATGAGTGAATAGAATAGATAAATAATCAATGGAATGAAACATGAATGGAATCATTAATGAATTGAATCAATAAACAATGGTTGGAATCTTGCATGAGCGGAATCAAGTATGGTTGGAATCATGCATGACCGGAATCAAGTATGGCTGGAATCAAACATGGTTGGAATTCCAGTTAACTTAACAATGTAATTAATCACAACATTAATATACATAATAGAATCAAATCAAATACAACATAAACATACACAAGTTAATCAACTTAAAGATATATTAACCATGTTCATCATAGAATATGTAATATTAACCAAAGCCAAATGTTTGAATGGCTAGTTGTGTAAATTCCCAAAACATAATCAAGGTGCCTAAAGCTTATACTTTATATGGCTATCAACAAAAGGGGCTATTAACAAATGGGGCTATCAACCAAAGGGGCTATCAACAGTTGCCCAAAGCCAAAAGTTTGTACATGTTATTCACAAAAGCATTGGTTAGAAACACCCTAATCTCGAGTAAGCGGGTTGGATGAACTCATCCTCTTCCTATTTTTGACATCCACCACTTTCTTCAATTGTATTTTTGTTATCCTCTCTAAAGTTGTAACGCCCGTAGATCCGGGCTAGTCAATTTAGAGGCAATAGGGGTCGAAAACGACTTTTCGACAAAAGATTATTTAGAATAAATAATCTTAACCAAGTTGTAGAATGTGTTACAAGGTTTCTATACATATAAAGAACGCCGAAATCCGAGTTATAACGAAGAAGTTACGACCCGTCGAAGTTTCGCAACGGAACCAGCACGGCACCGGGGGCGTAAATAGTGAATTTACGATAGAGCGAGATTTAGCCTTAGCGATCTAAACGAAATTCATAGAATATGGTAAACTAAGAACATCGATAACAAGAATGCCCAAATCTGACTTCGTATGAAGAAGTTATGATTTTTCGAAATTTCGGATTAATAGTGTACAGCCCGAAATTCGAATATTATATCAAGCGGTTTTTAGCCGACACGACCTAAACGAGAATCGAAGATCTTGATAAAAGTAGTGTAACGAGAAAAATATGGGCAAAAACGGACGTCAGATGAAGAAGTTATGAGGATTTAACGGACCAATCCTGTCCCGGCCTGTTAATAATATAAAATTTAAAATAAAGTCAAAATTAGCCGACAAAATCTAAACAAGAGTTGTAGAGTACGTTCCCTCCTACGCGTGGATATAAAGAACGTCGAAAACGGAGCTCGTATGCGAAAGATATGATTTTTAGAAGTCGGAGTGCAAAATTGCGAAATCTGCGAGAGGTTGATGACGTGGCCGCTTCTGAGCCGTTGCTTGCTGACAAGGGCTTCGCTTCGGATCACGCCACATAGCCTCGCTTTACACCCCGCATCCGAGTTCGGTACGCCCAGTGTACCCTCCGGTCTCATCTAGTTCCTGTCCGAGTGCGAGCCAGTTGTGCGAAGCTGGCAACCTTATCCAGGACTACGCCCAGCGTAGCTGCTGAACACGCAGTGTAGTCCGAAGCCCCCAGCCCCTATAAATAGATGCGAAGATGGCCGGCTTTCCACACCATTTTTCACTTCTCTCTCTAACTTCTTTCTCTCTCTAGGGTTCCAAACCCCTCCTAAACCCAAGGAAAACCCCTTAGCTCCCGAGGGAAGCCCCGAGGCTTCCGGAGTCCCGAGAAAAAGGGTCTTTCGGTTTCGAAATGCTGCTCCAAATAAAGTTTCGGTTTTCGATAAAATTCACTGTAAGTGAGCTACGCTTACGCAATTTTTAATATAGCTTTCGAATAATTATAGGAATGTTATTAGGTCCTTAAAATAATTATTTGGGTTATTATTATGAGTTATATTGAGTGTTATTAACGCTTATATAATAATAATAATAATAATAGTCAGACTAATTAATTTGTCGCGCTTATCGTTAGACTAAACCCTAGTGGTATTGGTACTAGGTGTTATCGAAGGAAATTATTTTGAGAGTATCGAAGCGCTGTCCGAGTGCTGAGTCACCACCTTTCAGGTGAGTGCATAGTTACTTTCATCTTACACATAAATATGAAGTATTTTATATAAATTACGTGCTATGTGTGCATATTATCTGAGTACTTGTTGTCTATGCTAAATGAACGATTTTATACATGCTTTAAATGATTTAAGTTGTATATGTATTTTATATCTACGATAATATTGGGGTAAGCATGGGTAGATATAATAGATGGAATATGAGTTGAATGATGAGTTGAGAGGTGTTATAGACCACGAGGTGAGGGTGAGAGGTGGATGATGTGAGAAGCCTTTTTCCCAAATGATGGCCCCGTCATTCAGCAGAGTATGGATGACAACCACATACTATTCTAGACAGTCCAGTGGAACACTAGTAGGCTCGCAACCTATAGGTGTTGTGAACGACGTATTCACCCGGTGTACTCTAAACCCTAGTGATCATGCAGACTTGATGCCTAAACCCTGGTGATCATGCAGACTTGATGCCTAAACCCTGGTGATCATGCAGACTTGATGCCTAAACCTTGGTGATCATGCAGACTTTATGCCTAAACCCCGGTGACTATGCAGACTTAGTGCCCATTGTAAATCGTGGCAACGATGGACTTTGTGTCGATTCCATAGGATGATCCTTAGGAATGAATGAACGAGGAATAGTTGATTCTTAAGGTAGATCCTTAAGATTAAAGAAGATAATGGGGATGGGTAATTAGGTTGATTGTTTGATTGTTTAAACATAATAATTATATTATTGTGGGTTGAAAACCCTATGTACTCACCAGGTTTCCCAACCCGACCCACTCAGTTTATTTATATCACAGGTGTTGATATGAAGTCACATTACACTGAGAGATTTAAAGAGATGTAGATCACTAGAATAAATAAATGTAAGTTCTGTTTATGCTTATGTTTCTGTATTAACGATGACATCCCAAACGTTTTGAAATGAATAAAATACATTTCTTCGAAAATGTTTTAATAACGTATTTATCGTATTTTTCTGGGAACAAATTCCACAACATTTTTATTAAAAGAAGTACTCTAATTTTTATAAAGCATAAAGAAAATCGGTCTTTTCTGGCTGTGAAAATGGAGATGTCACAAAAGTCTTCCTCTTTCTCAGTTTTGGCCTCCTGCCATGTCCTCCATAACCAGGCCTTCCTGCTCTATCTCCTGTACATCCATGTCATTCTCATTGATTCCCTCCTGATCCATCCCTTGTACACCCATTCTATCCTGATTCATGCCATTCGCATTGATTCCCTCCTGATTTATGCTCTTTTGATCCTTACCTTCTTGTTCCTTGACCTCCTCACCTATGCCCTCTATACCCATACCCTCTTCAATGATTCCCTCTGTATCCATACCCTCCTGATTTATAATCTCCAACTCCAAATCCTTTTCATTGCCCCCACCCACATTGATTCCCTCTTGATCCATCCCTTATGCACCCATTACAGTTGGTTGACTTTCAGAGACTGTTTCTACAGTCAATTGGCTAGGAAATTCAAAACCCTGCAACAAGCATATCAATATATGGTTAGGCATACTAGACACAATAAACTAAAATTATTTTCTAAACCATACTTGGGATATATCAAGCTCCACAGGTACATATTTTAGACCCTCAAATTCATATAATTCTTCCTCATTGATTCCAATACAATCCAAAATCTCTTATGTAGTGTAATTTAACTATCTCATGAAATCGATATCACTCTTTACATCCACTCTTATTTCATCATCAACGTTAGGACTCTCCACATCTCTTACCTCTTCATTATCACTCTTAACAGTAGGAGTCACCACATTTTCTTCATCAATATTAGAAGTTCCCTCACCAAATTTTGTATTCCCTTTACCTCTTTTGCCTTTTCCTCTAGTCCCCCTACCACCACCTCTCTTACCTCTTCTACCAGATCCACTACCCCCACCTCTATCACCTCTTCTAGATTCTGTCCAGTTAGTCAAATTAGGATCCAATTTTGGTCTGCATATTTTCTTTTTACGTTTTGGCTTAGGTACAACATTTGGATTTTAAGAAGCATTATTATGTCCCCTTTAAAGACAATTCTTGCATTGTACAATTCTTCCATTGGAAGACACTTGGGGGTATTTTTCTTCATGATCAGAGACATGTCTCCTTCTTTTGACACTGGGTCATTCTGGTATCCTCCTAATTGTAGGTGGAATGGGCTTCGTATAGTCAGTTTCTTCCCACAGGTTACTTCCATTGGTTGGAAGTATGTTAGACTGATATGTAGCCATGTAATTGTTGGGTTTTCAGCATTCTAACACTTCCTAAGTGTACATGCAACACTAATAAACCTTGGATCTATGTTTGTCTACAATACATGCAAATAATTATTTTTCCAAGGTTCATATCCTAACTAGCATGGCATTGGGAACATGAATCAAATAAAGCTAGTAGAAATACTTACCTTGTAGTAGTAGTTGATTGCTTGGAGTTTTAGAGCCTAGCACCAATAGTGTGAATGCCTCAAATGGAAATCACAAATCACCACAAACTTGGAACTTTGAGTAAATAGTCACTACTATCTTGAAATTAGCCCTCACCTCAACAAGTGTCAACTAGTGTGATTTTAAGAACCAAAGCCTCCTTTATATAGTGTGGTGGATTAGGGTTACATCCATGTAAACCCTAATACCCATGTCTCTTCATTTCCATGAGATCCATGGGTTAAAGCTCCATGGAGTATCCATGGACTTTTCCATGCAAGCCTAGCCCATTCCAAATAAGCATTAGCCCACACTATATAAATATAGAAGCCCATATTTAATTAGTAATATCTTTGATCTCTAAATTAATCCTAGATTAATTATAGATCAATACTAATTAAATAATATGATCTTATATTAATATATTAGAACTTATAATATATTAATAAATCATAACTTGTACTATTCTCAAATATTATCCATAAATTGTTCGGGTGAAGTGCAACCCAAATGGACCATGCCGGGTCGGGTCAAGTACATACCAAATATAGTTATGGACTTAGACACTATATCCAACAGTCTCCCACTTGGATAAGTCTAATAACTATAGTTGCAAGTATGACTTCAGGAACCGACCAGCAATCGTAGCTCTTTAAACTCTGTTGAACTAGAACGCGCCATTTTAGATAAGTGATCATATAATCCTCTGCTCAAGATATCAGCCGGACAAATACATGGAACATGGTCTTACTTATTGTCCAACATTTGTTTCCCGATTTCCGATTTGTTTGACATAGAACTTAACTGAACACATCAATTTAGTTCTGACCGGGCCCGGTACATAGGTCAAAACACAATCATCGAGGGGCCCAGATATCAGCTTCTAATCCTAGAAGGAACAGATAAACTTCGACTCATATGTTTGTTCTACCACTCATTGAATTATACACAAAGGCACGTTTTATAACATCGAGTTACCAATGCGTTTTCGTACAATCAATGCATAATCAACTCGTAAGTAACAAATCATATCTCTAGGTTTGAAGACTTATATGATATTACCGTCTCACGATCACTCGAGATAAAATTCCATGAAGTGATTCCAGTGAGCGTGGGTTGAGTCCAATGCTCAGAACTTATGAGCACTCATGATTGTTGTAGCCATGTCCAACACCTTAGACCTCTGCAACCAATCATGACAGTCTTGATTCATACCTACTTCCGACATATGACCGACTGTGGAGGTTTGAATAATATGATATACCAAACATAATTATTCTGGAAGTCAAAACATGCAAAAGAAATATAGTAAACGATCGACAAGAGATAGCAACACTTTACTCATAAATAAAACACCTTTTATTCATCATCTAATGTCAATTACACTTTACAAATTTCATAATTTATCTAACTACTAAAACTTATATCATCCTTCAGCCCTATGCTCCGAGCATGCTGGAGATGCTTAACCCTACTCAGTCCCTTCGTGAGGGGATCTGCTGGGTTCTCATCCGATGATACCCTCTTTGCCACGAGGATTCCTTCTTCTATTCGATGTCTGATGAAGTGATATTTTCTGTCAATGTGTCTGGATCTCCCATGATCTCTTGGTTCCTTGGCTAAGGCAACCGCACTATTGCTGTCACAGAAAATCTCCATTGGCTCTTTTATAGCTGGTACAACTCCAAGGTCTCCGATGAAGTTCTTTAGCCATATAGCCTCCTTTGCTGCCTCGCTTGCTGCTATATACTCTGATTCACAAGTGGAATCAGCCACTGTCTCCTGCTTGGAACTCTTCCAAGTGATTGCTCCTCCGTTTAAGGTAAAGACCCAGCCTGACTGAGAGCGGAAATTATCCCTATCAGTCTGGAAGCTAGCATCACTATACCCTACAACTCTCAAGTCATCACTCCCACCGAAGGTAAGGACCCAGTCCTTAGTTCTTCGCAGGTACTTGAGGATATTCTTTACCGCAGTCCAGTGTTCCTTGCCAGGGTTCCCCTGATACCTGCTAACCATGCTCAAAGCAAAGGCTACATCAGGTCGAGTACACGTCATAGCATACATGATCGATCCTACAGCTGAAGCGTAAGGTAGTCGACTCATTTCTGCTATCTCAGCCTCAGTACTAGGGCTTTGTGTCTTACTCAATCTGGCGTTACTCTGAATGGGTAACTCACCTTTCTTGGAGTTATGCATGTTGAATCTTTTCAACACCTTATCCACATAGGTGCTTTGACTAAGTCCAATTAGTCTTTTACTCCTGTTTCTCAAAATCCTTATCCCTAGGATATAGGCAGCTTCACCAAGGTCCTTCATAGCGAAACACTTCCCAAGCCAGGACTTTACTTCCTGCAGGGTTGGGATGTCGTTTCCTATGAGTAGTATGTCATCCACATACAATACCAAAAAGCTAACTATACTCCCACTAGCCTTGACATAAACACAAGATTCATCTTCACTCCTAGAAAAGCCAAATTCCTTGACCTTTTCATCAAAGCAAAGATTCCATCTGCGAGGTGCTTGCTTTAATCCATAAATGGATTTCTCAAGCTTACACACTCTATTAGGGTACTCGTTGCTGACAAAACCTTCTGGCTGACTCATGTAAACATCTTCAGTCAACTTTCCATTAAGGAAAGCGGTTTTGACATCCATTTGCCAAATTTCATAGTCATGAAATGCAGCTATGGCTAACATAACCCTAATAGACTTAATCTTGGCTACTGGAGAAAAGGTCTCATCATAATCCACTCCAGGAATTTGAGAGAAGCCCTTTGCAACCAGTCGAGCCTTATAAGTGTGTACATTACCATCCATGTCGGTCTTCTTCTTGAAGATCCATTTGCACCCTACAGTCTTACGACCTGGTACATTCTCAACCAAGTTCCAAACTTGATTGTCATACATGGATTGTATCTCGCTATCCATAGCCTCTTTCCATTTAGCAGACTCGGGGCCTGCCATGGCTTCCTCGTAGTTTTTAGGGTCATCCAGACCTACTAGTGTCCCATCACTAATAAGTGTCTCACCTTCTGCAGTAATATGGAAACCATAGTAATGCTCAGGTGCACTCCTAACTCTCGTGGAACGCCTCAGAGGTACAGATTCGTCAATTGGCTCAACAGGAGTTTCCTCCTCAAGTTGAGGGCTAGAGTTTGAAGTTCCTTCACCACTTGACTCTTGAATTTCTTCAAGATCAATTTGCCTCCCACTGTCTCCTTGGCTTATAAACTCTCTCTCTCAAAAAGACTCCTCTTCTTGCTACAAAGACCACATTATCACTAGGTCTGTAGAAGAGGTAACCAAAGGATCTTTGTGGGTAGCCGATGAAAATACACCTCTCGCTTCGAGGTTCTAGCTTGTCATGAGTCTCGTGTCTCACAAAAGCCTCGCAACCCCAAATCTTGATGTGGTCTAGTTTAGGTACTTTACCAGTCCACATCTCATGAGGAGTTTTGGAAACTTTCTTTGTAGGGACTAGATTAAGAATATGGGTGGAAGTCTCTAAGGCATACCCCCAAAATGAGATTGGTAGCGAATCTCGACTCATCATGGAACGAACCATGTCCAACAAGGTTCGATTACGCCTCTCAGCCACACCATTCAACTGTGGTGTCCTGGGAGGTGTTAATTGTGAGACAATCCCACATTCCCTAAGATAGTCGAGGAACTCTGAACTAAGATACTCACCACCTCGATCGGATCAAAGCATCTTAATGTTCCTGCCCACTTGATTCTCGACTTCCTGTTTAAATTCCTTAAACCTTTCGAAAGTCTCTGACTTATGCTTGATTAAGTAGACATATCCATATCTACTGTAATCATCAGTAAAAGTCAAATAATAACGATTAGCATCCCTTGTGGCATGTTTGAATGGTCCACACACATCCGTGTGTACAAGGTCCAACAAACTTGCACCCCTCTCACAAGAATCTGTGAAGGGTGACTTTGTCATTTTTCCAAGTAAGCATGATTCGCAACTATCATCTGACTTAAGGTCAAACGACTCCAAGACTCCATCCTTTTGGAGTTGGCCTATGCGTTTCTTGCTTATATGTCCAAGACGACAATGCCATAACGATGCTTTATCCAAGTTATTATTATTAACAGAATCAATACACAATACATTATTTCCTAGGTAATCAACCACAGATACTATTTCATACACGCCATCACAAGGTAATGCTTTAAAATAAAGAACATTATTAAAGAAAGCATCAATAGAACCAACTTCATTATTAAATGAAAAAGTAAACCCTTTTTTATACAATGCATGAAAGGAAATAATATTTCATGCCATTTCTGGCGAATAACAACATTTATTCATATCTAAATTTAACCCACTACTTAGCTGTCACACCCCAAAACCAAGAATGGCGGAAACGTTCTGGGGCGGAGGATGTTATGTAAAGTATCACAACACAGTAAATGTAAATAAGCAAACAACATCATCCATTGCATTAAATATAAAATTTTAATACAAGCATGTTCCGTACAGTTTTAGACACCAAAAATATAATGTAAATCAAAATAGTATGATGAGTCTTGAATGCGCTCCATCTTCTCAAAAGCTAGCATTGGTACCTGTCTACTGATGACCTGAGAATACAAGTTATTTTGAAAGAGTTTATCAGCATTAAGCTGGTGAATTCATAAGTATTTTAGTGTCGAGGTTTGTTATCAAAACGTTTGAACCTGTCGCAAGTATGAGTTGTAAATGTATGTAAGTGTTTGTAAAAGTTTGAATCTCTCAGAAAAACCTATATTTTCT